AGCCATTTGGCGGCGGCTGGCGGGGCTGTGCCCCTGCTCTGCGTTGCCGAGATTCAGTAGTCTGTGACAAGCAGACACCTCCAATTAAACTTACTAGTTCCCGGTAGGTCTCCTTTCAGTGGAATTTTGCTTGAAGTTTCTCAGCCTGACGCATGTGGGTGTATTAATGAGTCTCTCTGATCCCCTTACCACGGAGGCATTCAATGTGCTGCCTCTTCGCCGGTGGCCATGTTGGGCTCATGTCATTGTTATTTTAACAATGGATGTGAGAGATAATATATGAGAAAATGTTGAAAGCCTGAAATATGTGATCAAGAAAAAGCTTTTCTTTTCATTGTTGCCCATGAGCAGAATCTTGACAATAATGACAATAACCTTAGAATGAAAGAGTCATAGAGTTGTAGAGTTGAAAGAATCTTTACCCTGACTATAAGAATTTCTGCAGTAGATCATACAAATCTAGTGTTTTTCCTCTTCCCTTTCCCTGGTCTTTCTGCATCTCTCTAGGTAGGCATTATTTACATAGTTGATGAAGTATGTTTGATTCTCAGGAATCATCAAGGTAAGTAATATAAACATTTCTACCACTTAAAAACCCAGCAGGTATTAAAATTCATTAAAAAAAACCCAAGAACTTTAATAGTAGAGTGTGAATCCAGATTTCCTGATGCCTGGAATCTTATTGTTGTATTAGTTCCTCTTTTCTGTGCAGTCAATAATGTAATGAGATTATCTTTGTGGTTAAAATAAGCAATTCTTCTAACTACTGAATACCTTGAAGATCTCAAGGTACTTTTAATGTTCACATTCCCTCCCTTGATAAACATTTTTTGAGCACTTGTGATGTATTGAATTAAACTGAACAATCACCTAAAGACTTGACTTTTTTTGCTCATATGATTTAAAAGAATAAGGGTAAAATTGCGCGCGCGAGCGCGCGCACACACACACACACACACACACACACACACGATTCCTGGATTTGCAACAGATGAATTAAAAGGTTCGTTCTTTAGTTTGGTAGCTTGGGTATTCTGTAACCTCCAGTCTCCATTCACCAGATTGTTAGTGGGAAGTTTTTTTTTTTTTTTTTTAAATACAGCATCACTGCCTTGGATCCATCTCAGACAAACTTGAGATCCAGAGAATGATATACCTGATGCTAAACAGGTTAATGCTATTCCAGAAAAACTTATTTTTCTTGAGGATTTGAACTATGCCTTTCTGTACAGTGGATCCACAGGAAAAAAAAATCACAAAATGTGGCTCATATCTTGGCATAGATTTTCTATTATGTTATAGTTGTAAACATAATGGTATTATATGAGCACATATCCAATAAAAATACATCTGAACATTTGAGCTTCCATGTCACTTCTTGCTAACTTGTAGTTCTCTAGAAATATGAGAAAACTCCTTTTGAAGTACGTATCTGTTTCTTTTGCAAAAGAGCATTTTAAATTCTTTCTATCAGTGCTTCCATTAAAACCCATATTTATAAATTACCTTGCTTTGCAAATAGAGAGAGCGAGCTTGATTTTGGAGTAATGAAGGAGAATGAGTAAAAGCCATAAAAAAGGGAATGGCTTTTGAATTAGCTATTGGAAATCACTTCCAATACAATTGTCTCTTCATGAATATGAAGAAAGTATTTTGGGGGGAATATGGTACCAAATAAATATATATACCATTTATAAAATGTTTAGCAATGCTTTTTTTCACTAATAGAAAATAGTCCTGGTATTTTTAATATTGTTTCATGTTATAACTGCCCTCTATATTTTTTTCAATATTGTGTTTATCATTTTTTCAGGCAGCAAGATGATGTTTTAGACTTGGCTACCCCTGATGAAACCACAGTTCCCAAAGCGACCAGTTCTGCAATAGAAAAAGACATCTTGGTAACAAGCTAGTTCTTTTATCAGTAGAATTAAAAATAAAGGAATCACTTGAATATACTTTTATTATATTTTTGAGATTATTCTGTGAACCTCCCTTGTGGAGCTCTGTGGATTTAGGAGTAAATATAGAATTCCATAAAATGCCTCTATTGGATTAATGGAGGAAATCATTCTCTATTTTGTCACTTAAAACTACAATTAAAGAATCTCGGTGGCACACCCCTGTAATCTCAGTGGCTCTAGAGGCTGAGACAGAAGGCTCATGAGTTCAAAGCCAGCCTGAGCAACTTAGCAAGGCCCTACATAACTTAGCAAAACCCTGTCTCAAAATAAACAATAAAAAATGGACTGGGGATATGGCTCAGTGGTCAAGTGCCCCTTTGGTACTGGGGGGGGGGGTGGGTACCAAAACCAAAAAACTCAAATCTACTTGTTAGCCATCTTAAAGTTAGCCTCAGTTATGTATAGGGTACATGCTTTGTATTATTTTATGAGAAATTATCTATTATATAGTGTACATTTATGAAGTATATCGACTATCTTTAGAAATAGTAATTCTTCAAGTATACCAATACATAATAATTTTTAAAATGTGGATATTAAATAATGTAATAGTGCTAATTTAAAGTTGAGGTTTAATTTTTTTCTAATAAGTGCCACGTAAATACTTGTGAAAATATATTAAAGTTTAATTTCATTTTTAGAGAAATAACCCCAGGTTTTTAAATAAATATTTTATGAACACATATAATAGAAGTTCTGAAATTATAATATAGATTATTAATAGGTCAATTAGAAATTTTCTAAATCCTATTGTATAATATTTTTGGAATTACTATGTAGGGATACTGATTTGCTTGCAGCTTTTAATATCTACTTTTGATTATCAATAATAACAGGACAAAATTTAACATTTTAAAACATTTATGAAGCACTAAACTCTAATTTAGCATAGACTTTAAGTGCATCATATATTTGGTAATATAATGTGATGATTAATAGTATATTTGTGAATTGAAATAAGAGCTTTAATTTTCATGAAATAGCACATGTATTTTGAATTTAAGAGATCTCAAATAATGCTTCCATGAATTACACACAATACTTCTTTATAATTTATAAAAACTTAGTTCTTCTAAAACTTGAATTTTTCTCAATGGTTTTGCATTTTGACAAACATTGTTCTTTTTTTGTAATACCACCTGTGTTTTTCTTCTCTCCTCTTTGTAGAGATATTACTATTATATTCACCATGGAATTGATACGGACCACGTAGCACCAATGGAAGATTCTTGGTTAGAACATGTATTGAATTTAGTCCCACAACATCTGAAAGTTCTCACTGACAGTATAACGGCATTATCTGATGAAATGAGAGAGGATTATCTTCTTAGTGTAAAGAAATCCATAGGTAAATTGGGATTACTCTTTGCTTTCTAATTTGAATATGTATTATGTTAAAGATAATTTTTAATTGAAGTTTAACACTTATAATTGAAATTATTTACTATATTAATTATGTTGTTTCCTATATTGTTACATAAAATCTTAGGCAGCTTTTATAATGAATTCCAACAAGCAATTTTAAAAATTAGTCTTTCTGTTTGTAGTAATGCATACTCTCAATAAAGGATATCACTGAAGAAAATTATAAAACCTTAATTTCGATCCCTCAAAATATTTATTGAGTATCTAATTTATGCAAGGCATTGGACACCTAAGGAGTTAGTCTCTCTCTTCAAAATGGTTCCTTCCTTCAAGGATCTCTTGGTATAAGTGTAAGAGATAAATATATATATATATATATATATATATATATATATATATATATATAATAACCTAAAAATTTAAACATTAATAATGAACATTAATATTAATGATGTCATAAATTTACATGATTACATTATTGCTATGGACCAAAAATTGGAAAGCCAGGGCCCAGAGGCCATGTCTGGCCATTGCCTGTATTTATAAATCAAGTTTTATTAAAACACAGCCACATTCATTTATTTTCACATTGTGTTTGCTTTTGAGCTATGAGAGCAGAGTTGCGTAGTTGAGTAGTTGTAACAGAGACCTTGAGGCCCACAGAGTTGGAAATATTTATAATCTGGTCCTTTACATAAAAAAGAATCATTGACTCATAGTATACACCAATAGATTAACCCTAAGTCTGAACATCTTAAGAATCATTTTTGAAGTACAGATTTCTGGTCCAACCTGAATTAAAATGCTTGGAGATGGGACCTTGGAATCCATACTTCTAAAAAAGGTTCCCCAGTTGGTTGCAGTAATAAAACTGGTATAACTGATGCTCTGTTCAAAGTTGGAGACATCACAACACTTTGGGGTGACCTGGGAACACTTCCCTGAACACTTCCCAAAAGTGTTCCCAGATCATTCATTGCATTTGATTTTTATTGAGTATCTTGGTAATATAAAGAGCCAAATAGTATAATGAGGGAGATGAACAAATCACTGAGCTATAAAGCACAGTAGTAAGTGCTATAAGAAGACAGACAGAGGACGTAAGGGAGAAGATATTACCCCAACTTGTTAGGAAGGACTCTGGAGGCCCCTGAACTGAATCTTGAAGGATAAGGAATGTGTTCTCGAGAACATGTTTGTCTCAGGAAATGGTACAAGCTATGGCAGTTTTGGTGACCAAAAAGTATAGCATGTGTTTTGGGAAGGGGACACTATCTGAAGTCTTACATTTCTTTTTAAAGCAACTGACGGTAATGAACAGGCTCTGAAGAATTTTAAGCAAGGTGGTAATGGCATATTTGCATTTTATAAAGAGATTCTTGAAAGACAGGCAAGAGAATTGGTATTTGTGATTTAAAGACCACTGGAAAAAAAAGCAGAAGTAGGTTATTTGACTGATTTTAAGTTTATTTGACTGATCTTATAATAAGATAGTTTTACGCCCTTATGCTATTTAAAAGACAACAAGTTTGAACTGAACAAGAGAACAAGTTGTGGCTCAGTGGTAGAGTGCTTGCCTAGCATGTGTGAGGCACTGGGTTTGAGTCTCAGTACCATGTATAAATAAAATAAACTAAAAAGACAAATTTTAAAAAGTTGATATGTTCCTTTCTACAGTGAAAGAAAACTACTCTGTTTTGATGAGCTTCAATTCAATAAGAATACTTTTGGTGAAAAAGCTATAAAGGACAATGTAATATTAAAAACAATTATCATTTTCAAATGAAAGAACAGGGACACATTGTTAAGAAAGAGAACAGATATTCTCAAAGATGCAAATCTGATTGTAATCATAAGTTATAAAAATTTTCTTCATAAGTACAAAGATTGTTTATTATTAAAAACTTTAATTTAATTGATTAATTTTAATAGAATTAGTTTTATAATTGCTTGTAATTAGTTTTGTAAATGCATAATTAATATAAGGTTATTTATAAAAACTTTACAATTTTCTTCTAGTTGATTTTGTTTTAAAAGACCCTAGAGAAAAAGAAGATGATAAAAAGACAATTGAACTTCCACCCCATCGTGCTGAGTAAGTGGTCAAGTTTCTCTAAGAATATTGATTTTATGTGACTGTTTATGTTTATATAATATATTTACATGTCATATTTTCTCATACACATGTGTATAATTTATATCTAAACATATGCATTAGATAATTACATATGTGTATGTATATATTTCGTATATTTACTAATTTTTATTATGATCTTTATTGATGTATTTAAACTATAGTATGTTACATTTACAAATTGATGAATAGATGGACAGATGATTAATCACATGGACAGATGTACACTTAGATGGTGGAGAGAACCTGAAATGTCTTTGTGTCTCCACAGCAAGTAGTGAAAGGCTTCAGATGTGGTGGGGTATCAAAGCTTGATGATAACTTTCACAAAAACACATTTGGGAACCTGTAGAAAATATGCATAAATATGGAAAGCAGTATGGAGATCCCTTGGAAATCTGGGAATGGAACCACCATTTGACCCAGCTATCCCTCTCCTCAGACTATACTCAAAAGACTTAAAAACAGCATACTACTGGGGCACAGCCACATCAATGTTTATAGCAGCGAAATTCACAATAGCTAAACTGTGGAGACAATCTAGATGCTCTTCAGTGGATGAATGGATAAAAAAAATGTGGCATATATACACAATGGAATATTAGTCAGCATTAAAAGAGAATAAAATCATGGTATTTGCAGGTAAATATTGGCATTGTTGAAGATAATGCTAAGTGAAGTTAGCCAATCCCCCCAAAACAAATGCCAAATGTTTTCTCTGATATAAGGAGGCTGACTCATAGTGGGGTAGGGAGGGGGAGCATGGGAGGAATAGATGAAGTCTAGATAGGGCAGAAGGGTGGGAAGGAAAGGGAGGGGGCAAGGATTAGCAAGGATGGTGGAATGTGATGGACATCATTATCCAAAGTACATGTATGAAGACACGAATTGGTGTCAACCTACTTTGTATACAACCAGAGATATAAAAAATTGTGCTGTATATGTGTAACAATAATTGTAATGCATTCCACTGTCATTTATTTTTATAAAAAATCAATTAAAAACTCAAAAAATTTTTAAAAAGAAAATATGCATATATAGAATGTCTTAATTTAGTACATGGATTAAATTATAGACCATATAATAGGAAAATTCACTTGCTGTATATTTTCCCTTAAAACTAATTGACATTTAGGAATAAATCTCTTAAATAGTTTGAAGAATGGGACTTATATAATTAAGAAGCAATTCAGTTTTACTTTCTTTTTTTTTTTAATTAAAAATGTTCCCCCCAAAAAAGAAAGAAAAAAAAAAGAAGAAAACATCAAGTAGCCACTTATTTTCTATGGAGAACATCTGTTCTCCTGGGGAAAGACAAGAATTATCCTTCATAATTATATAGGAGGTATTGCAATCACACCTTAAAGCTAAATTAATCTTACTATGGAGCAAAACAGGACAAACTGTTTAAAATCCGTTAGAATAAAACATTATAGTAAAAAATGGATATTGAAATATACAGAGGCTTGAAAATACTGTAAGATGAAAACACATTTAATATGCCTACCTATTGAACATCATAGCTTACCAACATAGTCTGCTGTGTTCCACAGTTTACCTTCCTCATTGCATGGCTAGCTGTAAGCTGCAGTGCCCTGCTACTGCCCAACATCATGAGAAACTATTATTGCTGTGGCATATTGCCAATCCTGGAAAAATTCAAAATTCAAAGTCCATTTTCTACTGAATGTGTATTGCTTTTGCACCATCATAAAGCTGAAAAATCCTAAGTCCAACTGTTGTAAGTTGGGAACCATCTGTATTCTGAAAGATAAAGATGGCATATATTTAATATCTAAAGGATGATTATTTTAATCATTGGAGTTACAGAACAAATGGGTCTTCAGTTAAGAATGTTAAAGGATGCTGGCGAGGATGTGGGGAAAAGGGTACACTTGTACATTGTTGGTGGGACTGCAAATTGGTGCAGCCAATTTGGAAAGCAGTATGGAGATTTCTTGGAAAGCTGGGAATGGAACCACCATTTGACCCAGCTATTCCCCTTCTCGG